CTTCCACCGTTCGTATTTTTTCAAACGAGTGCCGGGTTTTCCAGTAACTTTGGCCAAAGTTCGGCTAAAAAAACAGGGGGAGCCGTTGCGTTTCCGTAAAATACTGAACGGTAGAAGGATAGCCAAGGTCGAGAGCAAAACAACAAGCCATTATTTGTCAAAATCGAACAAGAAACGGCTCAGCGCATCTATTTTCCGTGCACGCGCGCGCGTACTTTGGCCGACAAGGTGTGGAGAATTTCTGAAGAAGAAGAATAACAAGAGCAGCAGCGCTCGGAACAGCCGTGCTGGATACTTCCAATCCCGACGATGGAGCGTGTTGGCTGTCGTGAGCTGCTGAAACGACCATGACATTTCTTTTTCTTTGTATACCCTAGATATCTTGACGTGCCCTAGCTCAGTTTCGGCCTCTTTACAGGAAGAATATTTTCTTCCATGGCATCAGCGGCCAAACAGCAAGAAGAGCAACAGATCGAGATTTGCAGGGCAAACAAAGGATGCGTGCAGCTACATCTAGTCAGGTTCGATGCAGCTGCGCTTTGCCAGAACCTCAGCAGATAAGAAAAGACGACAGAGTGTCTCAGATGGAGCTGGATCTTTCGCCAAGACCGCCACCCCCGCCATCATCAAGTCCAGGTCAGTCAGAAAAATGCAAAGCCCGAGTGAAGTGAAGCCACTGAAGCCAAGGAAAAATTCAAAAAGTACGCTCTCCGGCTAGACTTCGAGTCGATATTTTTTTACTTCGATAGGCGCTGTCGCGGCCTGTAACGCGCGTCCATAATCCAAAATGGAGGCGCACGTGACGGGTGCTTTTAGTGGCAAGCCGTGAACCCTAAAGTTGTAGCCAACATACCACACGTTGTCACTGCCCTGCAGACTGTGATCTGCTGCCGGATGCCGTAGCCAAGAGTACTCCCTGGCTGTTGTAATTTTAAAACAAACTACATAACTGTTACTTCAGCTTCAAGCCTCCGCAATCATCATGATCATACGTCCATTGCTGTGCGAGTTAGGATGGTAGATCTACATGTAGTAAACACTGAGGACGTCTGAACTACGGGAACTGAGTCAGACTCATAGCTGCATACGACTCGAAGCAAAAGAAGTGAAGTAGTAGTAGTATTAGTATTACAGTGTAGTAAGTAGCCAAACATACAATCATGCACTGGTGCAGGACAAACAAAAAATTGAAAATTACTGCAGTCTGGTAGACTGTACAAAATCGTATGTCAGCGCCGCAGCGGTACAGGGTACATGTACCTATTACCCATATAAAAACCGCTCTGTGAGCGGTTCTGAAAAACCTCTACTGGTGCAGCCCCGTCGTAAAACTAAAAGTAAGAAATTAGGACTGGTGCATTGTCCTCCCAAATGTGAACTGATCCACCTAAATCGCGATTGACGGGACCCGAACGCACCAGTAGCACGAGGTTCTTACCTGTGGATGCAGCTGGGGACGCTGGTCCATAGCCAAAGCCAAAGGTGGGCTTCGGGGTACTGTAAGTGTTGTATGGTAACTTGATCGGCGCCGGTCCATTGCTGTAATCCTGTGCCCTCCCGACCTCGTGCTACTGGTGCGTTCGGGTCCCGTCAATCGCGATTTAGGTGGATCAGTTCACATTTGGGAGGACAATGCACCAGTCCTAATTTCTTACTTTTACGACGGGGCTGCACCAGTAGAGGTTTTTCAGAACCGCTCACAGAGCGGTTTTTATATGGGTAATTTCAGTTCTTTTTCTGTTCCCTCCCGCACCCCGGCCCAGCTCCGAAGATAAACATGGTGAGCATGCGCGCGATGCACTGTATGTAGCCATGCGATTGCAGTAGCACACGGATACATTCCAGCCCTTCCCACCTCGCTACCCCGCACACAGACACATTGTGACAAACAAGCACATGCACATGGCACACACACATGGGCACGCACACACATACACACACAGTGACACATACACACACAGTGACACACACACACGGCCCAAACAGGAAAATTCTTGATGAACAGTGTATAATGCCATGCAAAGCAGTGGCCACCATACTTCAGGAAGTCAGTTGTGAAACAAAATAAAGGTAAGCTGGCAGCCAAAGCACAACATTGCAAACCGTGATGATATTTGCGTAAGGATTGCAGTTTGCAGACCACACCATGGAAGCAGTGAGTGCAGAATGATTGTAATGTCATACAAAGACAAGCAAAGAAGTGGCCACCATACACCAGAAACTTGCAGAAAGTCACATATCCAACAGATAGAGAAGTGAACAGCATCTGGTACAGCCCACACAAAACCAAGCTGACCTGATACTCGTCCGAAGATCGTAAGTGGCAGATCCTTTTCAACGATAGCATGCAGGTGTACGTTACACGCATGGACAAAATCTGACCGTGTCACCAGCATACATTGTCATCACATGCATACCCCACAAGTTACACACATGCACAGTAGAAGCACAATAAAAGCAATGGAAAAATATGAAGGGGTTGATGAAGCATCTTCACACTTCAATTTCAGACTTCGATGTGGTCGTCACGGGGTGATATACCTGCAAGATACAAGTGATACAGAAAGAAAGCATAAGGTCATGAGGTAGGCTATGAGACACCACGAATGGGTCACCTACATGTATGTTCAGGGTTGGTGTACACACACACACACGCAGAATTATCATAATCGAGAATTTCCCAAACTACAGAAGAGCAATGAAATCCATTTGCATGCACAGGAGCAATTTCGCAGTATGATGCGCAGCTCGGGAATACACCTGTTGGCAATGGATTACATTCCCATTGGAATTCCCATTCACGTGGGATTCACAGAAGCAATTTGGCAGTGTGCTGCGCAATGCGACACGACCTGCGATTCTGCGTGCGATGCAAACTCGCACAAAATACCATTCACAGAATCACGACAAGACGTCAGCGATGCAACAGCGCCTTGCTGACGTGCCTCAAGTCAAAGCTCAATGAGAATGCGTTTGTCGGTTACAACTGGTACAAATGTACAAGCAATTTCTGAACTCTCCTGTGAATCCTGCTTTAAGCAGTGCAGGAATGTCCCTCCCCCCCCCCCCCCCCTCCACACCCTCAGGGAACTTGACAAGGAAGGGTGGTCTTCGCGGTTCCCAACATCTATTTGCAGTTTCTGGTCTCCACTATGTCTTTTCAATGGGGATTTGTACGTACCATAAAAGCAAGCCTAAAAAATGAACAGCATATTTCCCGTTCCCCCACTGGGGAGGATGCGTTCCACAGCTATCCTGACAAGATATTCCGAGAAGCGGTGCTGAGTGCAATGCATTGTGAAACTGAAAAAGCTGACCAAGCCGCGGCATATAACGTCTAAACTTCAATTGTAGTTCGCCAGCTGACTACTTTCAAACTCCATGTAGGTTGGAGTACAGCTGGCTTAGAAGTTGACAACAACGGCGCACGCACATAAGCAATGGCCACCTTACCTGTACTGTAGCAGTACTTCCGAGTTCCCGTATGGGAGTTCCCTCACTGTGTGTGCAATAGCAGCCTCATCGGACCAGTTCAATGCGACGCGGACAGTCCGACACTGAGGAGGACATTGAAGAAGTCAGAGACAGGAAGAATGGTTGATTTACAATTCAACTAGCAAGGCTGCACACCCACGAAGTTCCACTCACCATTGTGCCGTCCTTCTTGGAATGCAGAAATGACGCTTCCTCTCGAGAACGCAGCCTGTGACAGAGAAAAAGGAAGGAGCATCGCCATCGGCATTGGTCCTCTGCTATCACCGATTGCCGAGTTGCACAGTTCACTCTAACAAGACTGAGGATGTTCAAGAACTCCCCATCCATACCATTATTGGAGTAAGAGGAAAGGTCAGATTGCCTAGTTCCTACTTCCTAGGGCCTAGCATTCCTGGATGCCAGGATGTGCTCCCCCCCCCCCCCTCCCTTCTACTGCCTGGATCATGGAAAGGGCAACATATGTGACAGCATTCACCAGTACAGTCGGAGGAGAACATGGGAGAAGGCAAAAAAGGGCAACACACATGAATCCCTTATAAACAAGCAGTGGCAACTCTAGCACCAGCAATGTTGGACTTACATCCCAGCCATTGCCGCCGGATTCAGCGGCTTCTTCTTCTTCGTCTCCCATCTTGGAAGCACTCCTTCCCGTAAGTTCAGTCCTGGGATCGGGAGTACAGTCGGAGGAGGACGTCGGAAAAGGCAAAAAGGCAACACACATGATTCCCTTATAAGCAAGCAGTGGCAACTCTGGCACCAGCAATGTTGGACTTACATCCCAGCCATTGCCGCCGGATTCCCACGCTTCCTCTTCGTCGTCTTCCAGTTCCCAGGTTCCATCTTGCAAATACTCCTTCCCGTAAGTAAGTGCAGTCCTGGCCTGGGTGGATGCGCAGTACATTGACGATGGCGGAGATGGAGCAGGTCAGGGAGCCCTATAGGGTCCCGAGAGCAGATTGTGGCCAAATTCGGGACGATGCCGGACGCCAGTCAGTATGAAGTAGCGAATTGCGGACCGCCACGTAGATTGGGGTCGCGGGGTCATAATCCATGGGCACTACTCGTACGTTGCTCCAAAAAAGGGCACTGCACTGTTCCACAGTTGCTGTTAGCGGTCGCCAAAGGCACTTGGTAGGCCGGTAATTGGGTCACGTGTCAACAAAGTGTCAACAAAGTGTCAACAACGTGTCGACTACGTGTCTTTAGCGGTACACTAATTTTGGTGTCCCCAAACTGAAAACATCGAGCACCAGTATGGAAAGGCTTTAGACAGAAAGCCTTTCCAATATGGAAAGGCTTTAGACAGAAAGCCTTTCCAATATAGCTATGTATAATGTAGGGTATGACGATGATTCTTCCAATGCGATCGCGATCGAAACGCTGCGTCATGATTCATGAAGCTTGCTCAACCCAGGTCATTACGTCACAGAACTCGTGGACTTTTCGGTATCTAGCGCCGCGCCGGGGAACTTTTTGGGCAACGACAAAGGATGCAAAAAAAAGAAGACGTTTTCCAAGCCTCTGAAATCGAAGTCGTTGTACTTGTCTGAACCTATCGTAAATTCAGTTTCGTTGTTCGTCACAATCTGTCTTCCACATAGCCATAGCTTTGCAGTTGTGTATAGGATACAGCTTATTTTACCTAGAATGGCTGGTCGATTACTTTGGACGCGGTGTGCTTGCCGAGCCGTTCACTCAGCACATACAGCGCCAACTACATCATCGTGAGTTACAGCAGCGTAGTCTGATTCAGACTTGTTGCTGTTGTGCTTACTGGCGATTTTACTCCCTTTGATGCTACAGGACAAGGACAATACAAGCTAGGTCAGCAATGGGGTTCCCTGGTATACCCAGCCTTCCCAGCTTCTTTCCGAGCGGACAGAAAGAGATTCACTTCTCAGAACAGAAAATTCTTGGGTAAGAGAAATAGCTTCCTCGAAACTCTTTGTCAATTTCATCCCTTGGGGTTTCTATATGCACTTTTCAATACATGCAGTCGAGAGTACAGTCATATTTACTCTTGATGCAGCATGGTTAGCTCGTACAATAGAAGTACTGTAGGCCAGCAGTACAATGCGCTCTAGGTGTGGCAACATTGGACATCCCTATTGAGAGTGGGTCGAGGAGTGATGACAGGCACAGCCAGCCGAGCAGTTTGTGAGCGCACGTCAACCACTCATGTGGTCCCGAATTTGAGAGTGTGTGCGTGTGTGCGTGCGCGCACATGCGGTTTGTGTGTGCGTGCGTGTGTGTGCAATGTCATGCTGCAAGGGAGGAGCTATTCCAACATCCATTGTCATAAATTTGGGTATTGCCTTTCTCTGTGTCAGGGCAGCAAGGTTCCGGTTCACTGGGTTGTAGGCCATCACTCTATAGTGGATCCATATAATATTAGACTTATACCTCTCCATATTCACCCTCTCGTCCCTAAAACCCAACAAACGAGTCCTGTTGGTCATACATGTACATGTACGCAGAACTAACGTAAGTCGTTGTTGCTTCACTGAGCCTTCAGACCGACTGGCGTGTTCTTGCCTGAATCGGAGGGCGGCGTGTTCAGAATCTTGTTCAATCGATCGTGTACACGTACTGGTGCATGTGGCATGGGAGGTGACGACCTTGGAGAACACGCTCGTGCCAATCACCATGGAGAACACGCTCGTGCAGCTTTCTGGCGGGAGCCAATCATTAGAGAGGTTTCGTTTCACGCGAAGATTTAACCAATCAGAGAGAGGTTTCGTTTCACGCGAAGATTTGACCAATCAGAGAGAGGTTTCGTTTCACGCGAAGATTTGACCAATCCGCGATCATCACGCCAATTCGGGAGTCGGTTTATAACAGCGAGCCAAGTGGTTCTACCCTCACTTCTTTTCTTTTTAGGCAGCGCTTCGGAGCTGTTGTGTGCCGTAGGAAAATTCTACGCTAACGTCCTTGAACAGGGCTGTTCTGAGTACAAACGGAATTCCTGGCTTGCCGCTTGATCCGCAATCATCGGGCCATTGACATGTTGAGCGTCCAAAACCTTGTTTGCTCGCTGGAACGCTCCGTCTGTGAAGATGCTCACTGTCAGCACCTGGTCACATGCGGATCCAGCGGCAATGGCAAGCAAGGAATTTCGTTTGTACTCTGAAAAGTCCTGTCTACGGAAGTTAGCGTAGACATTTTCTAGGGCACTCGACAGCTCCGGTGCGCTGACTGAAGAGGAATCAAGCGCAGCACCGAGTACTGCTCTCTTTACAGTACAATGTAAGTATCGAAAAGTGGTGAATATAAGCGGTGAATATTCAGCAATATTCACCACTTATGTAGATGGCCAATTGTATGTGGGTGAATATGGAGTGAGGTATAAATAACAATACCGGATGTCAGTTCGAGACCCGGAATTTGTGGAAAAAGCCGGTGCCTGGACGAAAAATTATTCATGTATGTAAGCAGACCCGAAAAGAAGATCAGTCGATGTGAAAGCTGTGCATGCTTGCGTGTTGACCACTGCAGGTACACACCCGAACAAGTCTACTCAGTTGTGTCCAACGTGAACAGCTACTGTCACTTTGTACCTTGGTGTCGTGCATCGAAAGTCTTATCACACTCCGGAGCAACTGGTACAGCTGAGCTCGTCGTGGGCTTCCCACCAGTCTTAGAGAAATACACGTCGCAATTAACACTGAAGGAGCCATCCTTGGTTAAGGTTAGCATGACTACTGTACACTGAATCCTAGCTTACGCTTGAAAGCAGGTGGGATTCTAGTTTAGAAAGTTCTCTATGGTTGTTCTGAATAAAGTTTCCCTGGTTTGTCTTTCATTACGGTGCTTTTTATGAACAAATGTGCCCACGAGTCCATGGATGAGACTTCTGTTGTACATGTAGTCTTAGCAAATGAAATACCGTATATTCTCTATTATAAGCGCCGTGCTTATATTTTTTCAACACCCCTCTACCCCGTGCTTATATTGGAGACCGCGCTTATATTGGAGACCGTGCTTATATTTTTTCAACCAATACATCCATACAGGGCAAGAAGAAATACATGCTAGATATCATGCATGCCGCATTGATTTCCACCAAGATCGTGCTAATAATAGAGACCGTGCCTATAATGTTTCGAAAGGTGCTCACAGTGTGCTAGTATTAGAGACTGTGCTAGTAATGGAGACCTGCGCTTATATTAGAGAATATACGGTAGTCATTTGCTGGAAACATGTGTACAATGCACATTACACCCTTGCATATTCTTCTCTTTTTTCCTTTCACCGCCACAAATTGTTTTGGTCGTAAAGTTTCTGACAGATGTACTGTATCTTGTAAATTGAAACAAGTCCTGCATTTCTTTGTTCTGTTGTCAGTAATGAATGGCCCTAAGATATTTTATTTGCATGGAGTATCAGGCAACCTCTCAATTTCATGCACCCATGAAACTAGACCCTATCTCTTCCGAATTGACATGTGCCCTGACTACAGATTAGCTAGCTTGGAAGCAGTTGGGAGTGAACCAATGTGTCCTGCATGTGGAGGTGTCCTGTACATATATTTTAATACATGTACAGGACACCTCTTTTAGTCTTTTAAACTATGGAGGTGTCCGTCCGCCAAGTGTGGTTGTACCAATTACATCCAATAATCCATTCCTCTTGCAAGTTTAGATCAATACTGTAATTGTCGTGGTGGCGGGCATGTCGCGGCACATTGAATCTGTCGGGACAGATATATGCTACACCATGTGTTGCGGCATATGCACAATAAGATGATGTACTGAATCTTGATCAAAGTTCTACTGACGTTTGGTGTTCAGGCTGTTTCTGCAGATTCACGGCTCTTCAAGAGTTTAGAAAGCACGTGGCATATTAGTGCTTCTCCAAGTGGTTCTACAAAGCATGCTCACATTCACTTTGAGGTAAGTCTCCTTGTCTTTCATTGCTTTTCTTGCCGTAGTTGGCTGGTATCCGCTGTCACCTATTAGCTTGTTCTCAATCATGTCATGATAAAATTGTTATTTTATACAATATAGTGTCACATCTGCAGATAAGGTCATCACTCTGCACTGCTTGCATCGAGCACTCTACTGGCAGTTATCACCCACTGGTGTGTTGTACTGCCGGGCGCTGAAGAACAGGAGTGAGATCGGAGTCGTAGCTTAGGCCGTTTTTGTTCTTCGTGTACTATATTCCATATGCATAGTGGACTCGCCACGCTGTGTGCATGCCAGCACACTTATCTTGATGAAATCCTGGTTCACTCGTGCTTCAGTGCCGGACAGTACTGTGGACATTGTATGTGTTACCTTGCACCAGAGTTTCATGACTACTCCCGAGTGTACAGGCTAATGTACAGAGCGTGCCCTTGTTATTCAGTGCTGTTCCAGTACTGAGCCTTCGAACATATGCTTTGCCCAAGAAGATCAACATATCAAATCACTGAAAGCAGACTCACAAATGAATGACTTTGTATTCACTTGGCTTGAACTCAAATCTTCATCTGCCCGAGCCTGCTCCAATTAATCTGTATGGTGTGTGATCTGAGAGAAAACAGAGATTTTGTGTGAAGAACCCTGCTTTTTTCTTCAAGATTTTTACACGGCACAAACTATTTGTTGTCGCACAAGCTGTTGTGTATCAATGCATTGGCTGTTGGGAGATATTCTTTGTTCTTGTGTTTACTGTGTGTTTTGTGTTATCAGATTTCTTTTGAGTTTGTGTCTTCGTTCCACTCTAACCTTTCTCGGCTGTTCTTCGATGAAGTAGCGAAGCAGATGGTGTCTGCATTCGAGAAGAGGCTGGCACGCGTATATGGTCCAAGTTTGCTCCCTCCCTCAACTAAAGAAACAAAATTATAATGGTATGTTATGTGTGGTAACTTGCAAGCTTATAGGAATGGCTTATTGCATGGTAGAGAATTGAATGCCTGGCTACTGATCATCTTCAGTCCTCTTCTCTTTCTTTACTGACATCTGGCCACTGGCTAATGGGGAAGACCAAAGGGAGATAATGTTCTGGATACTTGCCATGACTAGTGCCACCTCTACAACATTTCTTCTTCTTCATGCTTTCCCCGTAACTACTCCTCAAGCCTATGAACTGGTAACACCCGAATGCTGTTTCTTTTCCTTTCTTCTCACTGTCCAGGTACTAATATCAATAACAAGTCATAATATGCCTGACTAGGTAGTATCTCACATATATTATCACAGCAAAACTTTTCAATAATCAATATTGCTCTGAAACCTGAAACTTGAGACATTGAGCCACCGCCGTTTAATAATTATTTATGTGCGAACACGATTCACGAAACGCCACGATTTACATCACACGCAAATTCTATGGTATTAATAGGTGTTTTTCTTTTGCTTGATCTTTGTTTGACGGTAGTTGTCCATGTGTACTCGTATCTATATCTGTGTGTTCTCATGTATCTAACTCATACTAAGTCTTTGAGGTAAGAGTGAGGCACACTTTCTCAAGTCATGCCACCAGTTGCAGTGGCTTTCTTATTTATCTGTCTTGTCTGTACGGCGTGTGCATGTATGTCTATTTTTCTCAAATACACCTCTGCAAATCCTCCTGTGCTTTTCCCCTTTTGTTTTTTTCTTATTCTTTTTCTACTTCCGGTACATGTTGTAGCTTTCTTAGACACTGAATACTGTTTGCTTTTTTTTCTTCTTCTTTTTTTCCGATAAGCACTCGTACAACTGACATCATGACCGTACTTTTGTTGGCTCTATTGGTGTTGCCGGATCGAGTCAACAGCAATGATAGCAGAATGGCTTTCACTTATTTAGTTCGCTTTGCCTGCTCTGCCAGGCTATTATGTTATGTTATTGTTGTAGTAGAATATTTAATATCATTATTCACCTCAGTCCTGGTATGCTCATACTGTGCGCATATTATGGCTCACTGCGCCCGTATGATTCTTACTGTATGGGGTGAAGATAAGTGAAAATTGGTCACTTATTACCTATGAATGACATAGGTTGTCAGTTGACGATCAAGTGATTCGTTGTTGGTTGTCTTCAGGCATTCAATTTCGTTAAAGCATGTCAGGATAGTGAGGCAACTTAGACCACTTGGAATCACAGTTCTCCATTCTACATACCATGAGTGGCTTGATCTGTCTGTTTTTCCTGTGGGTTATTGGCTGAAAAGCTTTTCCAGTACTCGATAAGCACATTTTGCAACTGTTATCGAGCACGACCGTAACGAGCAAGCGACAAGAAATCTGCATGCATGATTGTCTCTCCCCTACTACAATTCTTCAGAATGCTACAGTTGGGTTGGTGGTTGTGCTCTTGCTTGGATACAATACGTGTAAATGGTAGGTTATGAACTTATGACTGGACAAAACTGCTTCTGCTGGCTCGGTAAACACTGGTAAACAACAACTAAACAGGGCGTACAAGCACCGAGGCCGAGGGTGATCATAATCATAATAAATTAATAATTAACATGGTGGTGGGGGAGGAGGGCCGGTGTAGGGCTCCCTGCCTGGCCATTGCTTCTCGATCCGGGATTCCCCCTTTCCTGCTGATTGTACAAAAAGTAATACGCTCCCATAGCCCAGGAGCGTATGTACAACCAAGAGTCCATAACCCCAGCAATTGGCTGGCTACATCATCAGACACAGGGTCCACCACAAAGCCAAAAGAACGAAACAGTTCTATCCTCAGATTTGCAGATCTGCCAGGCAAGACAGTTGAGTTGGCTTCAAGAGTCTACCCCTAGGCCCCTCCCCCCCCCCCCCCCCCCCGGGGGGGCCCGGCCCCCTGTGCAGCAGGGAACCCTAGCCTAGGCCTCGGGCCGCGCCGGCCGTATACCGGTACCAGGCTAGCGATCTCTTCGGTACCGGTACGAGTCGTAGCGTCTCGCATTTCTTTTTTGCGGCTTTGGCCTAGCGGCGCCTGCGTTTTGTGTTCTTGCGTCGGGCGGCATACGTATGGCGAGTTTGGATACATGGGTGACGTGTACGCACGCCCTCGGCCTCAACTCAAGCGAGCTTTGCCGCCGCGATCCCCCATCCGATATCCGGAACTCATCTTCTTGGTGTATTTTGATGTCACAATTTGCACAGGAACTTCTTCCATTCGAACAAGCAGTTGTTGATAGTCGAATCCACCTTGGTTTCTCCTGTCCGATTACTAGATATTGGTTTGGGTCGCTATACGCGAAAGCGGGAACCCTGCCAGGATGCCGAAGCAGGTTAGTTAGTTAGTTCGCAAGAGATGTTACCTTCTGTATCACCCATTTACGTATGGGTCACTCTGTCGGTCTTTTCACACTCAGAGCTCAGTTCGTGTACTTACCGTAGACTCCGAATTGGAGTTCACCATCCAGGCGACAACGACTGGCAAAAACCTCTTCGAGCAGGTAAGCTAGTTGTCTCTCGTGCTTGTCACTTCGTCATGTTTGCCTTTTTCTTGTTTCGATGTCGACTAACCACGATACTACCTCTGTGGTGTACCTCGCGGCTCTCAGGTCTTGAAGTCCATCACCCTCCGTGAAGTATGGTTCTTCGGACTCCAGTATGTGGACACAAAAGACAGCGTCGGATGGCTGAAGATGGACAAGAAGGTATGCTTGGTTGCAAACCCAAGCTGGCTGTGTAACGCCAGTTCTGTTCCCACATACATTTTTTGCGAGACGACTGTTTTGTTTTTGACATACAGATCCTGTCCCAGGATATCAAGAAGGACAAGGACGGCATGATTTCTCTTGACTTCCGTGCAAAGTTCTATCCTGAGGATGTCGGTGAGGAGCTTATCCAAGAAGTCACTCAGGTAAGTTGGCCAGCTGGCGGACCACTAGTATCTGCGACTAGCTCTACACAATTACATGCAGCAGCAACTACAGAATACACAGTCATACAATGTACTGTGCACACAACATCGCATGAACATAACCAATCCATCCGTGTACGAGCAGAACCCTCGTACACATGACGTTGAACTCAGCGAACAGTGCTGTTCACCGAAATACTTATACAACAGCTCCAGGCAACGTTCGGTTCTAGCGCTTGCCGCACACTTGAAAACGCGCTAGTGTTAAAAGTCGCAGTCTGTTGTTCGTCGGTAATCGTGCGATACGAGAGATATACCGTCATAATAAGCATAATAATATTATACTCAAAAGAGAAAAGACCAAGGAACTACAAGTACAATTATACTCGTACCGTTTTCGCATGAAATCAGATCAGGCATAAAGTGACGGTATAGAAACAAAAACCGTACGGTAACACCAGCGCTTACGTCACAATGCTGTGAATGTTGTTGATTCGGATAGATAATGACCGGATGAACAGTGTGCTTTGTAGAGTTAGCTCAAATAACCATTACTTCTGTCCTTGTGCATGTCTGTCTGTCCATATCTGTCGGTGCAGCGGTTGTTCTACCTTCAAATTCGTGAGCTCATTTTGAAGGAAGACATCTACTGCCCACCTGAGACCGCAGTGCTGTTGGCTTCATACGCAGTAAGTGCACAGAACTCAGCCAATGTCCAGCTTACGATGGTGTTACAATGCCCGAACGGTTTTTCAATTGCGGAGATGTTCGTGGGTGTGGAGAAGGCCTAGATGTGTGTATGTGTGTGTGCGCGCGCGTGTGTGTGTGTCATACGGTGTTGTGTTGTGCCATGTACGAGGGTGGTTGCGTGTGACAAAGTCTGAATGATGTCCTCCAAACAAGGACATACCACACAAGTCTCACTTCTACTCTGTTGTTGGTTGGTATGCCTGTTCCTGTGTTTAGGTGCATGCTAAGTTTGGTGACTATGACAAGAGCACCCACAAGCAAGGTTTCCTGGCTGTTGACAAGATCCTGCCCAAGAGGTGAAAAGTTAATTGCAACATGTGTCCTTTTTCTAATTGTTCCCAAATGTGTCCTGTTTCCTTGTCTATTGAAAATATAGGATTGCTAGTAATGCTTGAGGCATTTGCCATCCAGATGATTGGCCTGGCTGGATTAACTTTGGCGTATGTTACATTCCAGCCACACCAGCAGCTAACCTGATTATGACCCAAATCCATACAGAATGTGCAGGCCACGGTCCGTAGAATCCTCTGTATCACATTGGGATGTATATCTACTAGCTTGCCAGTAATAACCACTTTTTGCAACGGAGTCAGAGGCATCTCCCATTTAGCCTGTATGCACGTGTATTTGTGTGTGTGTGTGTGCGTGTGTGTGTGCCGCTATAGAGTTCTGGACCAGCATCATCTGGATATGAACGAGTGGGAAGAGCGTATTGTCACCTGGTACTCCGAGCACCGTGGCATGCTCAAGTAAGTGCTAGCTTTGTCGATGTGTGCATCGGTGTGTAGCATTTAGGAGCACCGGTGTAAGTGGATAATTTCTGCTTTAACTACAGGAACTGCTTCAGTCGCTGATTCCTAACTCCTACCTATCTATCCTTCGCACACCGGTGCATGCTCCACGTATGATTGTCTTGAGTTGTCTTGCATAGGGGATTGATGGGATGAATTTGTACAGAGTTTGCAAAAACAAGTCCGGGTATTGCCAGTACATGTGTGAAGACAGTGTAAATTGCAGTGTTCACAAATCCGCAGTCAGAAAGCGCGGTAACAGGGCACAAAACTGACAGGCTACTGAGACATTCAGCGACCTGAGACCTAGCTCTAACACACCTCCAGTGTGCAAGCCAACAGCCATCAAACTTGGAAGGTTCATGGTTTAGTAGGACCATCCTGTAACGGTTGACATTCTTTGTTGCCGTGGGATGTAGCTTGTGCACATTTTCGCTGCGCTCACCTTCCCCCTTTCCTTCCAAGTTGGAAGGCCGTTGGTTTGTGCACTGGAGGTGTGTTAGAGCTGCTTATTATCTTGTTACAGTCGTGGATAGTTGCTTCATAACTCGTTTCCTTGGGATTTTGCTGTATTATTTCGCGGCATTGTACTGAATGTGTATGGAGCCCGATTCGGGGGGAGGGGGTGTGGCGCCAGGCGAGAAACGGACATGCAACTACAGTTGTGGCAAGTGAAATCCGACACTTGGCATAAGGGACTGCACCGTGCATCCTGCAGCCTCTGCAGCCCTGCATACGTACAGTACATGTGCTGCATACAACTTTATCTGTCTGATGACAGAATTCGTACTCATCACAGTCAAGGTTCAAAAGGTGCTGGCAAAAATGAATGGGAATTGGATACCAATACTCCTTATGTGTACCATGTTTGTGAACTGTAAGCTGTGACCTTTCGACCTGTTTGGGATGCATACGGCTCTATAGTACAAATTAGGTGCAGTGCATTACATCATTGATGTCCATTTGAGGCGCTGTCCCCTATGGCAAGTGTCGGATTTCACTTGTCACAACTGTATTTGTCGTGTTATATTTGCAGTCAGTTGTTGGCTGTAAGGGCTATTCATCTCCTTGGTTTCCCTTGAGCTATGCACCATTGATCATCCCTGGTGTGATGTCTTCGTTCGTTAGCTTTACTTGTGTGGGCAGTTGTTATGGGTTCTAACTTTGACGGTGTGATGTCTGTCACTGTAACCTGCAGGGAAGATGCTATGCTGGAGTACTTGAAGATTGCTCAGGATCTTGAGATGTATGGTGTTAACTACTTCGACATCAAGAACAAGAAGGGCAGCGAGTTGTACTTGGGTGTGGATGCTCTTGGTCTGAATGTATTTTCCTCTGGCGACAAGTAAGTGTGACAGGCTGCTTGTTGTAGATTGATGAATGTCAATTCGTTCACACCTACTTGTTTTCCTGCCCATGTTTGGTGTAGCTATAGTATTAGCTGGATGTGTGCAACTCTGAAGGTAAAACCTTTTTGGAATTCACATTTCATAGTCTTTTCTTTCTTGTCCATGTCATGTTTTTCTTTAACGCTTCTCAGGCTTACCCCAAAGATTGGTTTCCCATGGAGCGAAATCAAGAACATCTCCTTCAACGACAAGAAGTTTGTCATCAAGCCCATTGACAAGAAGGCGCCGGTATGTGTGAAATCCTCGTCCCATGATAGAATGCTTTCGTTTGCGATATTCTGGTGTGCATTGCGTTTCCTCGGCCAGCGAGCTCCGCTTGCATATCAGCACCATAGCATAGGCATGAACTTAGCCAAACCATTTACCTACTCGCGGAGTCCGAGCCTGTCACAATTCCCACCCATTGCACAGTGATTACAGATTGCCATGCAGTTCTGACAACGTCTGTACTCTGCTGTTGTCTACATGTGTAACTGCCGCAGGACTTCGTCTTCTACTCTCCACGCCTGAAGATCAACAAGCGCATTCTCTCCTTGTGCATTGGCAACCACGAGCTGTACATCCGTCGCCGTGACAAGGACAGCGTTGAGATACAGCAGATGAAGGCCTCTGCCAAGGAGGAGAGACTCACCAAGCAGTTGGAGAAGTAAGTTTTTCGACGTGTCGCGGCATCCCGTGGTGCAGGTGTCATACCTTTGCAGTTATCTGCGGTGCTTTATAACATTGTTTCTACCACATGCCTGTGCAAGCTTTACATAGAAGGAGTAACTTGTTTTCACGGTGACAGCGTGAACAAGGCGAGGGCACACTGTATGGGAAACCGTGCTCCTGACTACAACCCTAAACCAGTTGGTAGAGTCTCGGTCTTGCGACCATTTAAACTGTATGGGGCAATGCCCCGGTTCAGACCCTCATTATCTTTCTAAAGGACGTAGGAAAATTTCCCTGATCTCGTAATTAGTACTTGGGACATGAAATCCGGCCGTAACTGGTACAATCCTCTGACTGTTGTTGCCTGTCGTTGCCCCTTTTTTTTTTTTGTTCCTGTCTGCTTTTTGGGGTCTGTAATTTCGTTGTGTCTGCGCATTCTTTCGCCAACTACTGCCCATGGCGTCCTTCTCTCAGCTCGTCAGCTGCTCAATAGTAAAAAATGTCATCACCAATGACTACTGTTGTGAGAAGGTGCTCACTGCAGACGAGGTTGGTGAAGTTCCGGTGCGGCCATGGGTAGGCCTTCACCACACCAGAAACCTCGCCTGCACGTTGGTAATGTAGAGTCAGCCTTGTTCACAGTGCCCTACCGATTAGGCTACCGGGGATCACACACACTCATGGGTCCTTCTTGCTACTTGAAAGTACACATGTACTATTGGTTGTCGTGGTTATCACAGGGCCAAGCTCAACCAAGCCAAGCAGTTGCGTGAGGAGTCTGAGCGCCTTCGCCTCGAGTCTGAAAAGCAGCAGAAGGAGATGTCCGATAGACTCGCCACATTGGAGGCAGAATCACGTGCGAAGCTCGAGAAGCTTGAGGCTGATGCGAAGTCTGCTTCAGATGGTAATTATCTTAACTCCTTCTCCCTTGCATTGAAAGCGTGTGCTGTGAACATGCTGCAACGAATGCCTATTACCTCTTATTGCTTGTGCATTCAGAGTTCTTTTTAGCGGTGATCACTTTGGTTTATGTTCACGATCTTGTGTGCTGTGAACATTGTAGTTGTGACTATTGATTTGCTTTTCTCTTGTCTGTAGCGCTCGAGGCTGCCGAACAGGCACGCAAGCAAGCTGAGAAGCAGAATGCCGAGCTGGATGCGGCCAATGCTGAAGCAAGAGCTCAGGCTGCAGCTGCTTCAGCGGAGGCAAGGAGACAAGCTGAGGTTGCTGCTGCTGCCGCCAAGGCTCAAGCCCAGGCTGCAGCTGACGCCAAGGCAGCGCAGGCCGCTGCCATGGAGGCTGCCAGAGCAGCAGAGGCTGCTGCAGCGGCGGCAGCTACAAGGGTGGTGCCCATTGCAGTTCCAGAAAAGCCAGAATCCATCGTTTCATCCGCAGGTACGTCATGTCTGCAGGAATCTACATGAAACATAGAATAATGGTATCCTTCGGTGCAGCCTTGGTCAGAAGCTCTTCAAAATATGCTCCTGTATTGTGATGAATTCGAATTTTCTCAGAGAAACCTGGTAGTCGAAGAAACTGGAATAATTGAGAAACCTACCTCGAGGAATTCGGAGATCTTTTGCACGCGCGGAGCGCCAAAGGGGCAAAGCGATCTTGACTGACTCGAATTGTAGTAAACTCTGCGATACTACTGTAGTTCACATGCACTGACCCCAAAATGCGGGCAGTCTTCAAGTTTCAACCACCTTTGAAGAATCTCCTATAGTCCAAAGAGGATATTAGGGACGTTTAGCAAAGCGAGAGTTTGAAAGAAAGTTCGAGTCTGGGAATGAGTACAGAAGCAAAACTCTAAACTTCGAAAACTTGGACGCGAAGTTGCAATGATTTACGGAAGTAGCTTTCTCTTTTCTCGGTACACACTTGACGTCAGGGTGCAGTAAATTTACAGCCCCCTGCTTGAGACTGAGCTGTATACACGGTACTATAAGATCCATTGCTAAACGTCCCTATTTAGAACACTTCTCCAGCTTTTCCAAGACTGTTTAGAACGTACCCTAATACGTGTATCATTTTCTATAACTATCTGCTTTTGTTCCATATGTTGATTATCAACTCTACCTGCAGACCTGGAATGTCTTCTGTATCCCAACAATTGCATTCCATTTATGGGAACCAGTGGAACCACAATGAGTTCCTACAAGAGTACATAACCCCCCAGAGTGTGCAACTCCCACATACCCTGCTGTCCCGACAGAATTTCAAGTTGACGTCATTATTTATAACACAATGCTCCTTGCACGAGTGATTTACAACACAATGCTCCTTGCACGAGTGATTTACAACATGTGTACGGGTGTCAACGCATCACACGTTGTTCTTTGCAATAATTTGTACAGGATCAGATCGGCTTTGGTCAACCACAAGTTCCGGATTCGTCTGATAATCCGTGTACAGTGCTCATTGCATCATAATAATTGGATAAATATGACTAGTCAACTTGAAATTCTGTCGGGACAGTACCCATAGTTGCACACTCTGGGGGTTATGTACTCTTGGTTCCTATTAATTTTGATTCCTATTTGGGGTTAATCTGAAATTCAGAATGCAAAATCTCTCTTATGATTGGGTATGCCTGTAACTGGTACACATTTACGAATGACTACAGTATGAGCAGATACATTTATTATCGTATTCAACATTATAATAACAATCATTCTATCTGCCTTCTACTGAGGGTAATCAGAAGACTTGAATTAAGTTTCTTTTTCGGGTATATCAAACCTCTACTGTGCTGTTTCCTTTGTTTGTGCGTATATACTCACAGTGCTGGCCAGTGATATCGATGTCGGTGATTCTGATGCTGGCGGAAAGGAGCTTGCTTCCACTCTGGATGCATCTGTTCTGGCCAAGCATGACAACGACAAGCTGTCTCTGGCTGAGAAGAACCGCAGGATGCAGGACCAGCTCAAGGTGAGATCTCTGACAGGATATGTTGTGGATTCCGTTCTTCTGCAGCTCCTTCTTTTCCAGCATCGTACTTCATGGCCAGTTGCATGTTGTTTTTAAACTCTATAAAATTATAGTCCACATGTATTATGCCTCATTCAGGCCCTTTGCCGAATCATTCACGCCAAGACAGTGCTGTTTTGTTTGCCTAACTACTGCCCTCCCTTTGCTGCATTTTGTCCACAGAAATTGGGAAGCCAACTGGCCACCGCCAAGGATTCCAGCAAGCTGACCAAGACCGACATGCTCCACCAGGAGAACCAGAAGGCCGGACGTGAAAAGTACAAGACACTGCGACAGATCCGCTCTGGAAACACGAGATCAAGAGTGGATGAGTTCGAGAACATGTAAATCTACAGCAACCCTTTAGGGTGACTCTGTCTTTCTCCCTCTTTCTGTTGAAAAGGACCCTGAACTCCTCCATGAAGCTAATGTCTCTGCTTGATTCTAGTCATATTTATCCAATTATTCCTTTTTCTAGGGCTTTCCATATCATTTCACATTGCAAAGAATCCATTATACCATACTGAACATTTCTGCTGACATGTGTGAAGCTAATCTGATGAGACGATATCGTCGAAGTTGCCCCCTCTGTGGGCGAAACCCTATCACTGTGATCGTGAACTTTGGACTGTGGCTTATTATTGTACTAGGTGTGTGTTCAGTGAGGCCAGGCCTGCAGTGTGCAGTCAGTGCTGGAGTATTTTTTTGCTTTAATATCAAGATTATCCGGAATAATGACCATGGTCGTGCTGTGTAGATGTGCTGGCTATGTGTGTGTGTGTGTGTGTCCCGATGATCATGCAAGCAAGGGTAGCGAGTTACGCATAGGATTGAGTGTATGTGTGCCTGCCATGAGTGGTATAGACTGAAGGCCCATTCAAAGTATCACTTTGTGCAATGCGACTTTTGACAAGCTTCGACCGCGACACACAATTAACTATCTTTTACGTTTTTGAGACATACCTATGCAGTGCCTGCACATGCAAGCAGAGTGGAAATTGTACTGGTGTGTGTATGCCTCGTGCCGCACAACGTAAATTTGAACTTTGGTCAACTTCTGCGATAGTACGCGACAGGCATTTCCTTATCGCAGAAAGTGATTATTGTGAATGGGCCTTATCGATCATAAGGCATTCACAAACACAGCTACATGCTTTGGTCAAGGTGTAGGGGATTATGTCATGGAACGAAAACTCCCTTGGTACTCTTGGTATTACCAAGAGTACATGAAAACCAGAGTGTGCAGCTCGGATGGGTGGCTGTCACGGCGGAATTCCGTGATTACATCATTTTAGTGATGTAGTGCGTACAAGCAGGATTCAAGCAGGTCTCTTTCTGCACAACTGCAGCTCAGTTGTACGCACTACGCCATTTCCCGCCTCAGATCTGGGCCAAATATGATGTAATCACGGAATTTCGCCTTACAGACACCCATAGCAGAAAAGGCCCCAAGCTGCACACTCTGGTTTTCATGTACTCTTGGTATTACCGCAATACCCTTGACCAAGAGAACATAACCCCCCCCCCCCCCCCCAGAGTGTGCAACTCGTTACGCCCACATACCCTGCTGTCCCGACAGAATTTCAAGTTGACGTCATTATTTATGACGCAATGCTCCTTGCACCAGTGTTTTACAACACGTGTACGGGTGTCAACTCATCACACGTTTTTCTTTGCAATAATTTGTACAGGATCGATCGGCTTCCGTCAACCACAGGTCCCGGATTCGTCTGATAATCCGTGTACAGTGCGCATTGCATCATCAAAATGACGTCAACTTGAAATTCTGTCGAGACAGCACCCATAGTGGAGTTGCACACTCTGGGGGGTTATGTACTATTGCCTTGACCCCCCCCCCCCCACACACACACACGCACACATGCACACAATGTGTCACTTCCCAGCTGGATTTTCAGCAGGTGGCGGGAATTAGATCAAGGCTGCTATGTACAACTACACAAATGATCAGACTTGCCGTGCTGGAAAGTGCACATTTTCATCCGTAGGCATACTCCACTGGCATGTATTACGTACAACAGTGCATACGTCAGTTCAACACCGTATTTGGACGAAGTCGCTTCACAGGTACATGTACAAGTAGAAATTCGACAGGGGGCGGATCAACAGTACTTTACGGTATACGTGTCAATGTGACAGCATTGGGAGGTGCATGAAACTCAGTCACCAGTCACAGCAAGATGATTTTCTTTGGCCCTCTCTGTGGAATGAGTGGTTCCAAGCCTCATCATTCTGTACATGTACTAGTACATGTACTTCGAAGTATGTGTAAACCAAACCTGCACTCTCTGCAAAGGCGCTCTGGCATAAAGAAAGCCAAAACCAAAACCAAAAGCACTGTATAAAAAAAATAGAATTATGGGAAAAAGAAATCAGGGTATGATGGAGGGTCAACCATCAAACATCTAAAGAACGTCTATAGAAAGATCCAGGAGCAAAGATCAGAGAACCCAGGCTATCCTAATGTTCCAGGGTAGATAAGAATACACACAAACAACCAGAATATGTTGTTGGGGACACATCCAGCCTGCGATGGCGATATATACGTGAAAGTCGCAGGGATTGTTTCTCCGTATGTCTGCAAGGCATTCCACAGGACACCGTACGTTGATGCACCCTGCCACGTCTATGTACTTTCACACATGTTGCCATTCTGGAGGTGACTCGACCAAAGCACTGGCCCTAATCGCGGCGATGAGAACGAGGAGGAGAGGTGAGGGCATCCGTCTCAAGCCTGAGTATGTGTGCTTGTCTACGACTTGCAGTGAAGAAGGATAGGGGAATCCCTTCGCCTTCACAGCACAGAACTGCCTCACTCCTATCACAAGCAAATCACCCTGTGGCTCTGTGCTGCCATGGCCAAACCAATTAGTCGCCAAGGAGTCAAGACAACAATACATTCCGCACAGTTTGCACAGGCCAGTGTGAGTTTGGACCCGCAGTCGAATCAGTGTCAATGCACTTACATGCCACAGGTAATACAACGTGCAAAGCACTCCGCTAGGCACTGGCACTTGCGACTCAACTACTAGTACCACGTCGAGGGTGCTCATACACACTACTTCAGGCTATGTTGCGCAGTACCAGGTCTCCACCAGTGACAACGTTGAAATTATAATTCATGAAGGTGGCATATTCACATATCTTCTTCGCATACACAGTCGTCCTCGTCTTCATCATCTTCCTCACCCTCATCAGAGGTAACATCCTCTTGGTCTTCTTGCGCAATGCACAGTGGGCATGTGCATGCAAACAGGTAGTTCTCCCTACACAGAGGCAGAGACCAAAGCACTGATCAGTTCCAAACACTAATAGCACTTCCAGCGCTGCAAGAAAACGTCGGACTTACCGCAGGTGCTTTTGACGGCTGTGCCGACTCCGATCTCGCATGCATTCATCCAGATAGCTGATGCACACCTCCTGTCAGAGCAACGGGAGAAAAAAAGAATCTTGATTATTCGAATACGGCTTGATTCAAACTTTCTTCCAGGAACGATTTCAGCCAATACAATTCCTCCAATAATAATGTCCGATCATTCTAACTGGGCATGTAGGCCTTATTAGAAGTCCCAGAAAATCCACTTTACAGAGGGTTTAGGTGGGATTCCTGCTGATAATTCAATGCTCACCGTACACTGTACGGGTTTATTCAATGTGCGCTGGCAGGCGGTACTGATCAGTTCAGAATATGCCAAATCTGCGTCCATAGTGCATGCTAGTATAGCAACTGTGAGTTAATGGGCGCATCACGACATAAATACTGTGTAGCGGGTACATGTTCAGAAAACAAGAACGTCTGGACAATGGAAGTCCCCCCCCCCCCCCCCCCCCCCGGCAAGCTGGGATTCGAATTATCAGGATGTCACCTGTACATGCACCTGTATAACGCCAATGCAAGCAGGGAGAAAAAGCAAGTGTGCGTGTGCACGACGGCTCCCAAATGCACATCTTACCTCGCCAATATTGATGTCCTGCATGGCAACAATACTCAATACATGATTACCAGCAGCAAAGGAAACCTCCACATTCGGTACACAGCTGTGATTCACTAGAACGCAGTAGAACATACACAGAAGAATAGAGCCAGTCACATGCTGAATGCACAACGCTATTCACCGTAGTTATAATTTATAACGTGGAGGCACAGAACATGACGGAGTGACGAACCACACAAGGATCGGAATTCCACAGCACAGTAGGACAAGGAGGTCCAAGGGCCATGCACTAGTACGGCTACCAAACTAAAGCTTTGTCTAGTGGAAGACTGCTAACAGACCAGCGGAATAAACGAATATTCATAATCATTTCTCTCTTTACACGTACAAGATACTCGTCTAAAACAACAACAACAACAACAACAACACACACTTACAGCGGCTCTGGTGGTGGTAAATACCAACGCCTTCAACATCCAAGAAAGGGCCATTCACTGCATGAGACGAGAAAAAGAAAGCAGGACATTGTACACTATTGTTATGTTGAGTGACACAGAGTGACAGAGTTAGTGTGGACACATTCACCCTGGGATCACAGACAGCTGTCTGAGTCAATCATGCAGCATGTGTTTCCACGTGCACATACATGTAGCTACAACTGCGGTTACTCGCTGCCTACCTTCTTGCATTGCTGCATACACGGCATCAATTGTGGCATCAATATCGTCCTTCGCTGCTTTGGGCAGGTCAGCTTTCTCTACGTTGTGTACATATCGACTGAAAGCACTGCAGCAGATGGGAAACAAATATCAGGATAACATATACCAGTCAGTTTGGTGCAATCGCTTATTTCTGCCACCAGTGGCAACCCAAAAGTACCAGCAACGTGTAAAAGAGGACCCATCTAGCCACCATAAAACACAGAAGAACACAGAAGAACTGCTGCAAGGAAATGACGTATTTCGAATTAGAATGCACAGTCCTCATAATGCAGTATGCTAACCTTGATCCAATGCCTTGCTGGTTGCGTCCAAGCAGCGCCAACAGAGACCTGAATCTGTCACCAGTCAGCCACTGTCAGCAGAAGCAGTAGCCAAGTGAACAGCAGCAGCAATATTAATACAGAATAGTCTCTATATCGAGAAAGTACATGTATATTTAGAAGCATGCATGGGAAGGCTGGTAGAAAGGTCAGCATACAAAATATTAACAAATACCAATACTATAACCGCAATCAATAAAACTAGCTGAACCGACATTTGTGTACTTTATTCATGCAATGTAAAAAACGGTGGAGACGATGTGCAATAAAACGATGAAAATATGAAGAAATGGTGTAGGGAAAAAATATGGATTCAAACAAGTTTTCGTACAACACTCATCAGGAATCGTCGTTGTACTAAAGGACACTGAAACAGAAATTGAACTATTATAGAAAATCTAAGTTAGAGAAATAACACTAAGAGCAACAACAGTGAAATTTACAAGTGTGAATTTTAGCAATCAAAGCGAGAACTGAACAAAGGAGAAAGGAAGGAAAGACAACGTGATAACACATAACAGCAGTACATTACACCTAGAACATTAACGGCCAAGCTTGGCCGCACTAAACACGACACGTTACTTGAACAATTTCAACCCAATTATACTATCTTTCTGTACACACAAATTAGGCTTGTACAGACGCTGATAGATAGCTTCCAACACTTTTAACTGTAGTCCATAACCATGACGACCACGGCACAATACAGTGAACGAAGAGTCGGAATACGCACCGCAACAATCAGGACTAGCCAGCAGATGATTGTACACTGAAGACTTGCTACCACGAAACCTACGCACAACACTAACACTCTCACCGGCACTCTCACCATCACTCCCATCACTGCTCTCCGACTCACTGCTCCCTCCGCCGTCCGTTCCATCCTCCGCTTCCTCTGTACTCTCTCTGTCTCGTCCATCCCGCCTGACCGGGTCCATTGAACTCAACTCGGCCGTCCCCCTGCTATCACGTCCCTCCTTTCGCCCTCGTCCGCTGAGTGCGTAGCTTCTGTTGTAGTTGGCTGTTGATCGTCTTGGTCTTTCAATTATGGGCTTGGATGGTGGATTAGTTGTGGTTGCTGTAGATTGCGTTGTTGGTGTTGGTGTGGGAGTTACTGATATGCAAGGTGGGTCTTTTTGAGTCGGCATTTGTAGTGTTAATGCAGCTGTCAGTGTTGCTCGCGGTCTGCCACTGGCAAGCTCCACCGCCGCAAGAACCGATGGCGGAGGATCAGGAGGAGGCAGTGGGACCGGGATCGCAAGCGGCACCGCCTCAGCCAAAGCCGCCGGGGGCACTGACGAGGGAACCACCGACGGCCGGAGCAAAGGCGGCGACACAAGCCGACCCTCTATCACGTCCCTCCTTTCGCCCTCGTCCGCTGAGTGCGTAGCTTCTGTTGTAGTTGGCTGTTGACCGTCTTGGTCTTTCAATTATGGGCTTGGATGGTGGATTAGTTGTGGTTGCTGTAGATTGCGTTGTTGGTGTTGGTTGTACACAACCCGCGGATCCTGGCTCACAGACTGTGCTTGCTCCGCCGTCGTTGGTGGCGGTGGTGGAGGAGAATGGGCGTGGTGGCTCATCGGGTCGGCTTGTCGGGTCGGCCTGATCCTCCGCAATCTACAGCAACCACAACTAATCCACCATCCAAGCCCATAATTGAAAGACCAAGACGATCAACAGCCAACTACAACAGAAGCTACGCACTCAGCGGACGAGGGCGAAAGGAGGGACGTGATAGCAGGGGGACGGCCGAGTTGAGTTCAATGGACCCGGTCAGGCGGGATGGACGAGACAGAGAGAGTACAGAGGAAGCGGAGGATGGAACGGACGGCGGAGGGAGCAGTGAGTCGGAGAGCAGTGATGGGAGTGATGGTGAGAGTGCCGGTGAGAGTGCCGGTGAGAGTGCCGGTGAGAGTGTTAGTGTTGTGCGTAGGTTTCGTGGTAGCAAGTCTTCAGTGTACAATCATCTGCTGGCTAGTCCTGATTGTTGCGGTGCGTATTCCGACTCTTCGTTCACTGTATTGTGCCGTGGTCGTCATGGTTATGGACTACAGTTAAAAGTGTTGGAAGCTATCTATCAGCGTCTGTACAAGCCTAATTTGTGTGTACAGAAAGATAGTATAATTGGGTTGAAATTGTTCAAGTAACGTGTCGTGTTTAGTGCGGCCAAGCTTGGCCGTTAATGTTCTAGGTGTAATGTACTGCTGTTATGTGTTATCACGTTGTCTTTCCTTCCTTTCTCCTTTGTTCAGTTCTCGCTTTGATTGCTAAAATTCACACTTGTAAATTTCACTGTTGTTGCTCTTAGTGTTATTTCTCTAACTTAGATTTTCTATGATAGTTCAATTTCTGTTTCAGTGTCCTTTAGTACAACGACGATTCCTGATGAGTGTTGTACGAAAACTTGTTTGAATCCATATTTTTTCCCTACACCATTTCTTCATATTTTCATCGTTTTATTGCACATCGTCTCCACCGTTTTTTACATTGCATGAATAAAGTACACAAATGTCAGTTCAGCTAGTTTTATTGATTGCGGTTATAAAATTGTTGTCTCCTCGCCGTGTGTTTAAATACCAATACAAGGAAAGAAGAACTACAAATCTCAACCTATCGTTCACCACCATCATCAATAAACTGGTTCTGTCGGGTTCATGAATTTCGGGGTCCTCATTGATGGTGATGGTGAAGAATCTTTCCCTGATAAGTTTCCTGTCTCCAAGAAAGTTTTAAATACCAATACAATGCATCAATTCATTCAATGACAGATACATACCATAATATTCTCTATTATAAGAGCCGTGCTTATATTTTTTCAGCACCCCTCTACCCCGCGCTTATATTGGAGACTGCGCTTATATTATAACCAATACATCCATACAGAGCAAGAAGAACTACATGCTAGATATCATGCATGCAGCATTGATTTCCACCAAGACCGTGCTAATAATAGAGACTGTGCTAGTAATGGAGACCTGTGCTTATAATAGAGAATATACGGTACACCCAGACCCAGAACAAGGGCATCTTCACACTATAGGCAATGCATGTACACTGAAACAGACGACTGTCATCCATGAAACAACTCAAATGTAAAAGTAAATAAGTCCTCACCAAGCATCATTCCTGCTTCCTCATTCTAGGAGATCGAGATTTTACAGAGCAAGAATGAAGAAAGGTCAGCAGGCAACATACACTTCGACAGCACATTCCAAAAAGCAGACAGGAAACGTACCAGGCAGTTTCGTTCTCCTTCACCATACAGCAGCTGCAGACATCGGTGAATGCGTTCAATTTGGGGCTAAACAAACGAAAACAAGGCGCAGAAACGAAA